GGGTGACAGAGTGAGACTCCAACTCAAAAAAAAAAAAAAAATTAGCCGGGCGTGGTAGCACATGCCTGTAGTTCCAGCTACTTGGAAGGCTGAGGCAAAAGGATCTCCAGAGCCCAGCAGGATGAGGCTGCGGTGGCCGGGAGTGTGCCACTGCACTCTCCTATCTGGGCGACAGAGTGAGACTCCAACTCAAAAAAAAAAAGTGGCCGAGTGTGGGAGTATAAGCCTGTAGTTCGGGCTACTTGGAAGGCTGAGGCGGAAGGATTGCTGGAGCTCAGTAGGTCGATGATGGGGTGGCCGTGAGCGTACCACTGCACTCCAGCCTGGGCGCAGAGTGAGATTCCAACTCAAAAAAGAAAAAAAGCAAAATTCCTTTGTTACATTTACTTCCCAAATATATCAGTTCCTTTTAAAAATGTTGTTGGTCTGGACATGGTAGCTCACACCTGTAATCCTAGCACTTTGGGAGACCAAAGTGAGAGGACTACCTGAGCCCAGGAGTTTGAGACCAACCTGGGAAACACAGCAAGACATTATCTCTACATCAAATCAAAAAGTTAGCTGGGTGTGGTGGCACCTGTAATCCCAGCTACTTGGAAGGCTGAGGTGGAAGAATCACCCGAGTTCAGCAGGTTAAGGTTATGGTGGCAGTGATCGTGCCACTGTACTCCAGCCTGGGTGACAGAATAAGACTCCACCTCAAAAAAATTTTTTGTCAAATTTGTTGAGTTTTATTTTTGGTGTGTGTGTATTTGTCACTTCTGACTTTAGGCTGATATATCCCTTATCTAGACCACAGTTTTCAAAACTATGAAGACCAGACAACAAGGACTTCTCTGGAGTGGCCTAAAGCAAAGCTGAATTTTCACTGCAGATTCATCTCAGATCCTGGCCAGTTCTACCTACAATTAACCTGAGTATAGGGGCAGGGAGTGATGTGGAGATTCTAGCTCACGCCCAGGTAAACTGGAAGTCCAAATTTCTCATTCTTCTTTTTTTTGAGTTGGAGTCTCTGTCACCCAAGCTGGAGTGCAGTGGCATGCTCATGGCCACTGCAGCCTCGACCTGTTAGGCTAAGGTGATCCTTCCACCTCAGCCTTCCAAGTAGCTGGAACTGCAGGTGTGTGCTACCATGCTTGGTTTATTTTTTTGATTTATTGTAGAGACAATGTCTCACCAAGTTGCCCAGGCTGGTCTCGAACCCCTGAGCTCAGGCAATCCTCTCGCCTCAGCATCCCAAAGTGCTGGGATTACAGGCTACCTACCCTTCTTAACCAGTAAGGAAAAATAAGAGCTGGCAAGAGCTCTAGACTCGACTAAATAAGATCCACAGTGAGCTACCTGGTACATCCTGTACTTCAGAAAGTCTTTTGGGTCTGTGGCAGACTGTCTTGGATCCTAACTTATATAAGCCAGTTCTGCTTTAGCCAACAGACTCTGACAGGACCAGATGCTCTAGACTGGATGCTTCATATAAAGTGCCTGGTCACATCTCAGTGCCATTACATATTCCCTGAGGGTTGGTAGAAAGCTATACTAGATCTGTAAGAAATGGAAAGTCTTTTGTCTTTAATTTCATTATATATACTAATGGAGAGAAATCAAAGAATTTGGATTTTAATATTAGTCCTGAAGAAGTGGAGTGTCTGAAAGAATGAAGGATTAACACACACCTGATTTCGAAGAGGCGGCTGCTGTGATGGCCGATCCCTGTGTGTGTGGCTTTCTCGAGTTATTGCAGATGCACCAGAATCTACATGAACAGAACCTACTGGAGTGGGCTGAAAAAAATGAAGTAGAAAGTCAGAAGGGAGAAAACAGGTCCAATTTGAGGCATCTGCAAAGGGCAGTTTCATTCTAATGCTAATGTAGTAATAATAATTTTTTTCAGCCACCAAGAGCAGTTTCAAGTCTTCTTGTCTTCTCAGTTTGCTCATCTGCAAGGGGGAAGTAGCCTGGTCCTCAATAGTTCACTGTAGAGTAGCTTACCTTTGAAAATAAGAAACTGACCCGGCCGGGCAACTTGGCAAGACCTCATCTCTACAATAAATCAAAAAATTAGCCGGGCGTGGTAGCGCTCGCCTGTAGTTCCAGCTACTTGGAAGGCTGAGGCGGAAGGATCACCGGAGCCCAGCAGGTCAAGGTTGCGGTGGCCAGGAGTGGCCACTGCACTCCAGTCTGGGCGACAGAGTGAGACTCCAACTCAAAAAAATAAAATAAAATAAAATAATAAAAATTAAAAAAAAGAAAATAAGAAACCATCCTACAGAGATATCTGTTAGCATATTCTGGTCTTGTGAACCCCTGACCAGAACACAAGTCTAAAACTTCCTATGATGCCGAGTTCCACTCTTACAGAAGTCAAGTGATTTAGCAGCTCAAGTAGCACCAACTTTGAATCATTCAAATAAAACTTCTTCTAGAAATCTGGCTTAAATTCTGGTATTACAGGACACACAAGTTAAAAATACACAATTCCTACTTCCTAACTCCAGTAAGAGCAACCTATGGCAACACCCTGAAAAGGTTGGTAAACATAAAGTCTACAATTAAAGGAATGCTTTTCTAAAGACTCCAGCAGAAAGACTGGCAAGTAAAGAAGTAGGGCAGTGTTGGTTGGAGAAAGGAGGTGATGAGGTAAAAACAGGATACTTACAATAGGCCTTCCAACCCAATCATAGGCATAGTCAAAGGTGTAGCCTTTCCTTTCAAAGAGGTCTGTGAAGAGGGTCCGTAAATACTCATAGTCAGGTTTTTCAAAGAAGTCTAATCGCCTGACATAGCGAAGGTAAGTTGCCATCTCCTCTGTTTGGAAAGAGGTGAAAGGTCATGCTTATTAGCTGAATGTTTCCCATGGTGGGTAGGGGGTATATTGGACCACACAAGGGATATTTATACAGATTATCTGACACTGGTATTTTCTTTATGGGCCAAACAAAAGTGATAAAACTTTGGTCTAGATAGCAGTAAAAAGAAATGTAAGTTATCCTAATAGCACCCTTAGTTAGAGATACAAAGCCATGGTTCCACCTGCTTTCAAGGCTCAGTCCCACTGACTGAAGTATCCTAGCATCCTACCTGGAAAATTCTCACAGAGAGCGTCAATGGGAGTATTCCTTTTTGTGTCACCAATTTTTTGATACCTCTCTTTTAATGTATCCGCCTGTAGAGAGTAAAGAGGACAATCATTTGGAAAGAGGTATTAAGTATGAGAAGTTCAGTATATTTTTGGACATAATGATTGTTTCACTCAAACTGACAGGATATGCTAGTCTCACTTTTTTCTAACACTAACAAGAAATGTAGTAGATATTTAGATATGTATAAACATCTGCTGTGCTCTGGAGAGTTTTACTTGTAAAAATAGTAGTCTCAGACAAACAATATCAAATATAATGAGATAAGTGGCTAGATTAAGAAAATAAAAATACTATGTGGCAATATTTTCAAAATTGTAATCTCTATGGATCAGCTTTAAGATAAAAGCATTAGCCAGACATGGTGGCTCAAGCCTATAATCCCAGCAATTTGGGAGGTGGAGGCAAAAGGATTGCCTGAGCCCACAGGTTCAAGACCAGCCTGGGTAACATGGTAAGACGCTACAATAAATTTTTAAAAATTAGCTGGGTGTGGTGGTGCACATCTGTAGTTCCAGTTACTTAGAAGGCTGAGGTGGAAGAATCACCTGAGCCCAGCAGGTTGAGGCTGTGGTGGCCATGAGTGTGCCACTGCACTCCAGCCTGGGCAACAGAGTGAGACTCTGACTCAAAAAAAAAAAAAGATAAAAGTACGGCTAATCCAGATGGGGGAAATGGATGGTTCCACTACATATATTTGAGAATTTAAATTAAAAAATAATAAGGTGTGAAAAACTGCCTTTCAACAAAGTACTTCCAGAGGGAAATAGTTATCTTAGGTATGGCCATGGCTAACATGTTTGGTGTATGTCAGTAGCTCAAAGCAGTCCATCTGGTATGCTCAGAACTGTAGTCAGAGGGCTTCTGGACCTTGGACCAACAGTGGGCTCTCAAGGGACTCTTGTCAGGTTCTACCTACCCTGTGGCACTAAACAACAGTTTTCTGAAGGAAACTGGAGAAAGTTTAGATTTACAACTACCACTAAAATAATTCACGGACCACGAGAGTTTCAAGCAATTAATAATACAATCGGCCGGGCTTGATGGCTCAGCCTGTAATCCAAGCACTTTGGGAGGCCAAGGGAAGTAGACTGCCTGAGTCCACGGGTTCGACCAGCCCAGGCAACTTGGCGAGACCTCATCTCTACAATAAATCAAAATTAGCCGGGCATGGTAGTGCATGCCTGTAGTTCCAGCTACTTGGCAGGCTGAGGCAGAAGGATCACCAGAGCCCAGCAGGTCAATGCTTGGGTGGCCGTGAGTGTGCTACTGCACTCCAGCCTGGACAAAAGAGATTCCAACTCAATAATAATAATAATACAATAATAATAACAACAATAATAATGCACTCATGCATCATTAGGCTATATAATGAAAAAGCAGAATCTGAAACTCCATTTGAAAGCTGTCAATATCAATGAGAAGATGTATATGACTAGGAAAAATCATGGAGGAGAGGAATTTAAAGGCAAAAAAAAAAAAATTTAAAGGCAAAAAAAAAAAAAAGCTCAAAGAAAATGGGTACAAGCCTTACTTTTTAGGAAAATGTCCTAGAAAGCACAGCAAAATTGATGTACTGGAGTATATCAAGCTACTTATTGTTTCTTTCCATACTAGCATGTTGAAATAAATTACAACTAAAACACATGCCTCACAATTAACTATCTAATGGCACGTAAAGTGGGTCAGAAGCTCACCATTTCCTAGTCCAACAGTCACAGGCACAGAGTAATTATAATGTTTATTATTATAATAAATAATAGTTAACTCTGGCATGTAGGCACTGTACTGACCTATCTAAGGAAGGCCTATTTCAACTCTACACATTTTGCAAAGAATGGCTCTTGTCTAAATAGGCATTAACTCAATAATACACTTGAACAGTAAAGGTAAACCTGGATTTTCATTTTAGTTCAGGCCATTCCTTAGGCCAACAGTCCCTGGCCCCCAGACCACAGATCTTAGAAACTGGGCTGCACAGCAGGAGGTGAGCAGCAGGTGAGCAGAGCTCCGCCTCCTGTCAGATCGGTGGTATTAGATTCTCAGAGAAGAGCAAACCCTATTGTGATGGACTAGATCTAGGTTGACAATCGAATGCTTGATGATCCAGCCCCCACTCACATCACTGTGAAAATATTGTCTTCCACAAAACTGGTCCCTGATGCCAAAAAGGTTGAGGGCCGCTGCCTTAAACTACATAGGATAGACAAGTATTTTCCAGTTCCCCCGAGGGGAACACCCTTCTAGCCTTTCTTGTAAAATGTACAGCAGCTGCTGCCATCAACATGTTCCAGAAATTCCCTTACATACTGGGAACACTCCTTCTGCTACGTAATGGTGGTAGAGGAATAATACCAACAGAGAGAAAAGCAGCACTACCAAGACTGGGAGGGAATAAGGGAAAAGATGATGGAAAACCCAAAGACAAAGAAGTAAACACTAAAAAAGGGAAGAAGACGAAGTGAACACAATAGAGCTTCCAAAGCCCAGGCTAGCATTTACAATGTAGAATAATGTAACTAGTCCCTGTTTCTCATCTCTATAGCCAATCTTCTCTTCTATGCTTCTTAGAAACATCAAGACAGAGCCCCTTCATTAACAAACGAGCATTGAAACAAAGCCTTTCACGGAATACTTTCAAGGATACCTTGAGTCCTTGCCAGGGTAGACTGCCTCGAAGGAAATACATGAACATATGGCCTAGGGCTTCCAAATCATCTCTCCGGCTTTGCTCTAAAAGGGAAGACAGAATCACACATTACGTTTGTAGTTATTAAAACAGAAAGGGGTTCAAAAGCAAGTAATCCCTTCAGAAATCCTTCTGCTCTGGAAAGGCTCCGCTTATTATTAATAATTCTCTGTATATCTAGACTGGGGGTAGTATTTTAGATCAAAACCAAAAACAAATGTGTACTTCCTTTGTCTAGATCTGTGAAAAGAGAAAATCTTGAATTAAAACAAAGCTCAAATCACTAAACCATGAATAACACCCCTCACTCAACGCTGTCACCTTCCTGAAAGCGGGACAATTTAAATGAAAAGCTATTTCCAGTATATGGTCCACAATTATACTTTAGTTACCACCAGGGAAAGTGAGCAGTAGATTAAGCAGTCAAAACTGTTAAAACAGCTTATTCTGGTTAAGCCTGCAGAATGCCTAACATACATGCTTAGTGCTTTTTACTCATCAAAAAAAGTAACAATTTAAAATTAACATTAAAAAAGTAATGCATAATCTCTTGTCTCTCATTCCATTTATACCTAGTCCCATAACCTCCTTGAGAAAAATTTAAAATGTATTACTAAGGTGCCCCCCAATTTAGCTGGGTGTGGTGGTATGTGCCTGTAGTCTCAGCTACTCGGGAAGCTGAGGAAGGAGGGTTGCTTAAGCCCAGGAGTTTGAGGCTAGCCTAGGCAACACAATGAGATTCCATCCCAAAACCAAACAACCCAAACAAAAAAACCCAATGTCCCTGCAATCTGGGAACTTATCTAGAACAAGTTGCTAGGTTTTTCTTTCCTTTTAGTTGGGAAGGTAAAGATGATAAATAATTACAGAATAGTTCATAAAAGCTGCAACTTGAAGGAGGAGGACATAACATCAATAAGGGTACCTGATCTCAAACCAGGCAAAGTAGAAACCAAAGGGAGGACCAAACTTTACTTGCATGGTAACCACTTATATACCCAATCCTGAATTGTACCCATCTTTAAAAAAAAAAAAATAGCTGCAACTTATCTGAGAAAACGTTCTATACAACTATTTGGTTGTCAGACTTGAATATAAGTAGTATGTGTCTTCATTTCTAACTTGTCACTTATGGTTTATCTCAGACATTTTATGTGCTTATATTTCAGAATGAAGTTTAAAGCTTTAGCAAAATAAATTACAGAAGCAAGATTAAGATGCTACCTTCAACTTGACTGTGCTTTCTTTGTACGGAAAGTAAAATCTAAGAGAGTCAAAGAGGCAGGGAAAGCCACTCAGCCAACTCAAGATACAGAAGCGTAATTTGTTTAACTGCTGCCTCAAACTGTAGGAAATTTGCATGAAAAAGAATAATAGTACTCTACTGGGTAGATGAAGAAAGAAAGGAGTTTTCTAAGCAGCAGTTGAAGGAGGTTTTTGGAAAGATGGTGAGTAATGGGAAGGAGAGACACCCTGCAGAGAGATAACTAACATAAAACTGAGTTGGTATATATCAATTGAAATACTTGAAAAAGAATAACAAAAACAGCAAGACCATCAGAATCTTTTGCCTACATGGCTTGTCTGAAGTTTGTAACAAAATATATGTAATTGAAAACAAAACAGCAGGCAGGCAAAAACAGTTTGTTAATAGAACCTAAAGTACATACATGAAAAAAGAGAAAAGAACACAAAGGGTGAGCCAAGAGCTCCCACAAGGCAGGGCAGAGAGAGAAATCACACTTTGCAGTTTTTTTCACACTGTATCACACCTACTCATTGCCTCTTCATTTTCATATCCACTTCCTGCAACAAGGCCCCTTGGTAATTAAAAATTTACTAGAATTTTAGTTAGATGAGCACTAGAGGGCGACACTTTCCACATTTTCAATACTAATCAAGTCTACAGAGAAAAGATTTATCTTCACAATTATAAAATGAGATCAAAAAGAACTAAAACTTGAATTACCATTTGCCCCAGCAATCTCACTACACAGGTATACCCAAAGAGAAAGAAATAATTATTAAAAAATACCTGTACTAGCATGTTCCTTATAGCTCTATTTAAAATAGCAAAATCATGGAAACAACCTAAGCGTCCATCAGTGACTGAGTGGATAAAGAAAATGTGGTATATATAAACCATGGAAGACTATGAAGTCATCAAAGAATGAAATGATGTCCTTTGCAGCAACATGGATGGAACTGGAGATCATCCTCACTGAACTGTCTCAAAAACAAACACCCTATGTTCTCAATCATAGCCAAATGGTCACAAAGATGGACATAACACTGCAGACACCAAAAAGTGGGGAGCTGAGGCAGGGGGTTAGGGCTCAGAAATTACCTACTGGGTACAAATGTTCACTATCTGAGGACTGGGCCACCAGAGATTGAATCCCCACCACTACTACACAATAGGGCCACATAACAAACATGCACGTGTACCCTCTGAATCTAAAATAAAAATGGAGAAAAATGAGATTTAAAAACTTATTTAACTCACTGTAATAAGTAATAAAGTAACTTTTCGAATCTTGAGACAATGAAAAATAGCTATAGAATATGGGATGGTATAATAGGAAAAACATTGTTTCCTAAAACAGGTCAGTGATCTGGTCTTGGTTTATCCTTTTCATTAACTTAATCCAGTGAGAACAGGCATGGCAAAGTCATCTACCTCAGTTTCCTCAGCTGAAAATACAATAGTCTATTTAGACTATTTGAAAAGTCTACATCACTTTTTGTTGCTTTTTTGTTTTTTTGAGTCAGAGTCTCACTCTGTCACCCAGAATGAAGTGCAGTGGCATTCTCACAGTCACTGCAGCCTCGACCTGCTGGGTTCAGGCGATCCTTCCACCTTCCAAGTAGCTGGAACTACAGGCATGTGCCACCATGCCCAGCTAATTTTCTAATTTTTGTAAAGACAAGGCCATGCTATGTTACCTAGGCTGGTCTCGAACTGTTGGGGTTAAGCAATCCTCCCGTCCTGGCCTCCCAAAGTGCTGGGGTTACAGGTGTGAGCACTGAACTCGGCCCTAAATCATTTTTCATAGAGTCTATACCAACTCAGTTTTATGTTATTTATCTCTGTCAGGGTATCTCTCCTTCTCATTAGTGATCATTTTCCCAAAAATCTCCTTCAAACTGCTATTAAGAAAGTTGACTTTTCTTGCTTCATCTACCCTGTAGGGTACTAGTCATCCTTTTGCATGCAAATTTCCTACAGTTTGAGGCAGCAGTTAAACATGTTTCACTCCTGCATCAAATTTTCCAGCTCTAAAATTCTAAAATCATCTGGTAATTTAAGGCATTAGGGCCTTTCAAAAAAATAATAAGAGAGTGAAAGTCATAGCATGCTCTATTTCCATACTTCTTTGTTGTTGTTTTTTTTTTTTGGTTTTTTTTTTTGAGTTGGTGTCTCACTCTGTCACCCAGACTGGAGTCCAGTGGCCGCTCCCGGGCACAGCAGCCTCGACCTGCTGGGCTCCTGTGATCCTTTCGCCTCAGCCTTCCAAGTAGCCGGAACTACAGGCGCACGCTACCACACCCGGCTCATTTTTGACTTATTGTAGAGATGAGGTCTTGCCAAGTTGCCCAGGCGGGTCTCGAACCCGTGGGCTCAGGCAATCCACTCAACCCCTAGGCGCGGGATTACAGGCTGAGCCACCGAGCCCGGCTTCCATACTTCTTTGAACTCCATACTTGGTCAATTCATTACTTCCGTATACCCTCATTTTTCATTTTTTTTTTTTTCTGAGTTGGAGTCTCACTCCCTTGCCCAGGCTGGAGTGCAGTGGCAAGTTCACAGCCACCGAAGCCTCAACTTGCTGGGCTCCGGCGATCCTTCCACCTCAGCCCTCCAAGTAGCCAGAACTACAGGTGCGCAATACCATGCCCGGCTAATTTTCATTTATTTATTTACTGTAGAGACAACATCTTGCCACGTTACCCAGGCTGGTCTAGAACCTGTGGACTCAAGCAATCCACTCGCCTCGGTCTCTCAAAATGCTGGGATTACTGAGCACTGGGTGCTGGGCACTGAGCCACCGAGCCAGGCCTGCCCACATTTTTCTATGCAAGTCAAAGACGAAAAGTTTCAATACCAGTGAAACCACTAAGACACAAAATTCTTCAACACTGTGAAGGCTTGCATTCTTTTTTTAAAATTTTATTTATTTATTTTTTGAGTTGGAGTCTCACTCTGTCGCCCAGACTGGAGTGCAGTGGCCACTCCCGGCCACCGCAGCTTCGACCTGCTGGGCTCCAGCGATCCTTCCGCCTCAGCTGGAACTACAAGTAGCTGGAACTACAGGGGCGCGCTGCCACGCCTGGCTAGTTTTTGATTTATTGTAGAGATGAGGTCTCACCAAGTTGCCAGGCAGGTCTCAAACACGCAGGCTCAGGCAATTCACTCACCTCAGCCTCCCAAGGCACGGGATTACAGGCTGAGCCACCGAGCCCGGCTAAGGCTTACTTTCCACCAGCCAGAAAGTTGTGCCCGGTTTACATGCACATCCCGACTTTAGGTTAAATATATTTGTTGAAGGAAAAGGGCAAGGTAATCCCATGATTTTACCCTAATTTCAACCATTAAATAATACAAATTGGGCTGTCTCAGTGGGCCTCATCAGTGGGAATGTGGCTGCTATGGTTTGGATGTCTGCTCCGCCCCCGCCAGAACTCACGTTGAAATGTGATTCCAATGTTGGAACTAGGGCCTAAAGGGAGGTGCCTGGGTCATGGGTGTGGCTCCCTCATGAATATATTAATACTCCCCCCAGGGGTGTGTGAGTTCTCACTCATTAGCTCCCTCCAAAGCTGGTTGTTAAAAAGGCCTAACACCCGCCCCACTCACACTGTCATAAGATCTCTGCACAGCTCCCCTTTGCCTTCCTTTGTGAGTGGAAAAGTGTGAGGCCTTCCGCAGAAGCTGAGCAGATGCCGGTGCCATGCTTTTGGCACAGCTTGCAGAACCACAAGCTAAACAAACCTTTTTTCTTATAAATCACCCAGCCTCAGATATTCCTTCACAGAAACACAAAACAGACTAAGACAATGACTGGTGGTAACTTTGGGTTCCAGAGGCTCCTTTCCTTGTTCTCCGCCCTTACACAATTTAGGGGTGACTCTCTCCAAGCCATTCTAAGATAAGCATCCCAGTCCTTTTTTCTTCATTACAATAAAAGGATGTAACACATTAAAAAACCAGTAGTATTAGAGTTCCTATGAAACCCTCTATGACTTGAGACATGAGAGAGTTTAAGGAACAGTGACAACTATCTGTATGTATTCTCTGTAATATGGAGAGCAAAAAATATGGTGACAGACTGGATCTTACCTAAAAAGCTCTAAAATCTGGAAATAAACTCCAAGTTCTGGCAGGAATGGCAGCATACCAAGAGATGAAGGAGCCTAGATTGATGCACAGTGAATGCTCACAACATATTTTGTTGAGTAAATAATAAGGATAACTACCGTAGGAAGTGATATTATGATTACCAGGCATTATGTTAAACATTATATACATTATTCCACACACCCCTATGTTACATGTACAGTTATCATACCATTTCATACATGAGATAACTGAGGCTGAGGAAGGAAGGTTATTAAAGAGGTTACATGTACAATTATCATATCCGTTTTTATATACAAGGTAACTGAGACTGAGGAATGAAGGTTACTAGACCACAATTACATAGTGAGACCCAGTATCTACAAAAATTTTTTTAAATTAGCTGGGTATGGTGGCACATGCCTGTAATCCCACCTACTTGAGAGGCTGAGGTAGGCGGATCACTTGGGGCCAGGAGTTCAAGGCTACAGTGAGCTATTGTCATGCTACTGCACTCCAGCCTAGGTGACAAGCAAGACCTTGTCTCTGAAAACAAAACAAAATAAAATAATTAAATGTTCATTAGTATTTAAAATCCTTATAATTAGCTATGTCTAAGAGTCTGGAACCTGATAACATTCTGCTTCTATGTTTACTCTCTAGGATTTTGGTTCTCAACACATTTTTCAATCACCTAGGCTCTTTCTTCAAATAGAATCTTCCATGGAAGCCCAAAATATAAAACAGATAAAAAGGAAAACTTTTTTGGAAAAGCTGGCAAGGGGCTCAGGGTTCTGCCTCCTTGGCCTCTCCACTGTTCCTTAGGCTTTTTTTTTTTTTTTTTTAACAAATACTGTTCTCTTGGGGTAGTTCCTCTAAAAATTAAGATCTTCTGTCTTGCTCAGAGCTTTTAGCAATATTTGCACAGACTGTATATCCTGAAAAAAATGCAAAACTCATGGTAAAGCAATATGTTTTCGTTCAATAAGACAGAAACTCTTTCTTGAATGATTATGCACAGAATTATGTGTAGTGAACAGAGTCTGGTCCATTTGTAGTGAGGCACTCTTCCTCATTTCCTTTTCAGGATTTTTTTTTCTTGAGTTGGAGTCTCTGTCACCCAGGCTGGAGTGCAGTGGCTACTCATGGCCACTGCAGCCTCAACCTGCTGGGCTCAGATGATCCTTCCACCTCCGCCTTCCAAGTAGCTGGAACTGCAGGCATGTGCCACAATGCCTGGATAATTTTTTTTTTTTTTTTTTTTTTGAGTTGGAGTCTTACTCTGTCGCCAGACTGGAGTGCAGTGGCCGCTCCTGGCCACCGCAGCCTCGACCTGCTGGACTCCGGCAATCCTTCTGCCTCAGCCTTCCAAGTAGCAGGAATTACAGGCGTGCTCTACCACGCCCGGCTAATTTTTTGATTTATTGTAGAGATGAGGTCTCGCCAAGTTGCCCAGGTGGGTCTCTAACCCGCGGGCTCAGGCAATCCACTCACCTCAGCCTCCCAAGGCGTGGGATTACAGGCTGAGCCACTGAGCCCAGCTAATTTTTTTTTTAATTGTAAGGATGAAGTCTCCTCAAGTTGCCCAGGCTGGTCTTCTGGTCTTGAACCCTCGGGCTCAGGCAATCTTTTCACCTTGGCCTCCCAAAGTGCTGGGATTATAGGCGTGAACCGCTGTGCCTGCTGAGGCCATTACCTTTTTTTTTTTAGTTGGAGTCTCACTGTTGCCTAGACTGGAGTGCAGTGGCCGCTCCTGGCCACCACAGCCTCAACCTGCTGGGCTCCGGCGATCCTTCCACCTCAGCCTTCCAAGTAGCTGGAACTACAGTCAAGCACTACCACGCCCGGCTAATTTTTGATTTATTGTAGAGATGAGGTCTCACCAAGTTGCCTAGGCGGGTCTTGAACCCACGGACTCAGGCAATCCACTCACCTCAGCCTCCCAAAGGCATGGGATTACAGGCTGAGCCACCGAGCCGGCTTGAGGCCATTATCTTAAGTAAAACAATTCAAACACTGAAAGACAAATACCACATGTTCTTTCTTACAAGTGGGAGCTAAAGAGCATGCACATCCTAAAGTGCTGGAATTATAGGCGTGAACCACCATGCCCATCCCCATTTCAGAACTGTCAGATATGGGGTCACATGTAAATAAATACCAAATTCATTACTAAACTCACTTAAATGCTATCATCTATTTACAGCAATCCAAGTACAAATTAAGTATTTGGAAATGTAAGGAATTAAGATTCTATAAACAGCCAATAAAATACTTAGGAAAATCATTAACTTACCATCTTAATTTCTGAAGTATAAAAACCACTTAGACTTGTGAAGCCATAAGAACCAGAGTTGTAATACACAATGAGGATAAAAGTGTTATTGGATAAAAAATTGTTATGGCCCACCCCCTTTCATGGAGCAGAAAATAAACACACCTTTGCCAAGATGCGTGTTGATAGACATATATCTTGCAGTTCCAGTTAAACTTTTGTGCTCCCTATAAGGTATATGTTTTTTGGTTTCAGGGTCAATGTATTCCTTGGCCAGTCCAAAGTCTATAATGTGTATAACATGCTCTTTCTTATTGCCTTGTCGGCCAATCAGGAAGTTCTCTGGCTTGACATCTCGGTAAATGAGGTTCTTTGAATGCACATACTCCATTCGAGAAAGCTAAAAGAAAAAAATGATGGAAACAGTTTAAAGAAGTATACTGCAAAAATACATCAAAACATTTTATCAGTCAAAGATTTTTACTTACTGAAATAACAATAAAATGAATCTCTTCTTCACTATACGGAGTCACTTTACTGACTTGTAAGCCAAAAAATATTGTTACAAATACTTATTTAACAAGTATCAAGATTAGGAAAACAGGGTAGGACAGTACAGTTCAGCTAAAATGATAATACAGCTGGGCTCGGTGGCTCAGCCTGTAATCCTGCGCCTTGGGAGGCTGAGGTGAGTGAACTGCTTGAGCCCACGGGTTCGAGACCCACCTGGGCAATTTGGTGAGACCTCATCTCTACAATAAATAAAAATTAGCCGGGCGAGGTAGAGCGCGCCTGTAGTTCCAGCTACTCAGAAAGCTGAGGCGGAAGGATCGCTGGAGCCCAACAGGTCGAGGCTGCGGTGGCCAGGAGAGGCCACTGCATTCCAGTCTGGGCGACTAAGTGAGACTCCAACTAAAAAAAAAACCAAAAAACAAAACAAAAAAAACCCATGATAATACAATTTTACCTTATAATGTCACAATTTGGAAATGATGAATGGAATTAGTTGTTTTTTTGTTTAGTTTAGTTTTGTTTTGTTTTTGAGTTGGAGTCTCGCTCTGCTGCCCAGACTGGAATGCAGTGGCTGCTCCCAGTCACCGCAGCCTCACCTGCTGGGCTCCGGCGATCCTTCCGCCTCAGCCTTCCAAGTAGCTGGAACTACAGGCATGCGCTACCACACCCGGCTGATTTTTTGATTTATTGGAGAGATGAGGTCTCGCTGCCCAGGAGGGTTGCAAATCCGCGGGCTCAGGCAATTCACTCACCTCAGCCTCCCAAAGGCACGGGATTACAGGCTGAGCCACCGAGCCCGGCTGCAACTGTTTCTTAAACTGGTGCTGTTGTGTAATTCGGTAGGAGCTGCAAGAGTTGCCTCTTCAGCTGTATCAGTCTCTGAGAGAACCAGAGGCCAGAGAACAAAGGCAAATTATTGGTCACACAATTTTGAATCTGAGTGTTAGTACAATGGGTTGCATGGTCAATCTTTCTTGGATGCAACAGTGAAGAGAAAAGGGAGACATGACAAAACCATACAGTTACGTGCTAAAAACCTATAAATGAAACATCAAATGGATTATTTTCATTTTTACAACTCCACCTACTCATCCTCTTTTTGCCTGAATTGTATGCTTCCACTTTAGTTAAGGGCAACGTATTGCTCCAAGGTGCAAGTTCTTAAAACAGAACAAACTGCAGATGTAGTGTGACTTCTCTGAGTATACATCTTTTACCCCAGTCACCTTCCCAGAATGCTATCAAGCCAGTGAGTACGAATCTGCTAGGTGTCACTACAGTTAGACCCACAGAAATGGGGCCAGGGGTCCAGTCTATTTTTTACCAGAATAGCAACTCCAACTTACCAACTGAATGGCTATCATTAACACCGTCTTCAAAGTAAATGTTCGGTCACAGAGGTCAAACAAGTCCTCCAAGCTAGGGCCAAGGAGCTCCAACACCATGGCATTATATTTCCCACAAGGTCCAAAGTAATACACCTGTGGGAGACCTTCACCTGAAAGCAAAGGGGAAATGGAGTACAGAGTGGGAGATACAAAACCAAAATATGAGACAACTGTAGCAGCACCGATTAAGATATAAAAAAGTACAATATGTGAGCTTTCCGATTAAGATATAAAAAAGTACAATATGTGAGTTTTCCATTTTCTTTCATACTCCCTACTGGAAACTTAAACTGAATACAGCTTCAATGGGAACTATTAATGGGTGGGAAAGGCTAAGTCATTGCACAATATGTTCAAATAAGCAGTTCTTTAATGCCATTGTGACAAAGGCATTTCTACTGCTATTTAAGACAGAGAATAGTTCCTGATCCATTATTGGATCTTCCCAAAGGATGCCCAAAAGTGCAGTATCATAAAAGGTTCAAAGGATGGCTCACTGAGCTCAAAGTCTAGGCTAACAGACCTCATTGCATTATCTAGTTTCATTAACACTCTCTATGCTTACTGCCAAAGCCACATGGGCTACCTGCTCCTACTGGTCTATGGAGAGCTCAAATTAAAGAGGCGAGGTCACAGAGAGTAAAGCCTGGCCCCAGGCCAGCACAACCCGCTCTCTTTTCACAAGGAATCTGTTTTCTGTTTTCTATCAGCTGGAGAAAAGCCAGCAGACAATGTTTGGATGCTGATAAGTAAAGATGAAAGGAAAAGAAGAGAAAGATAAATGCTGGATTTTTCCCAGATTTGAAATTTATAGCTATCAAGAAGTGAAAATCCAGAATTTCTCACCCAACTACAAATTGTTAATGAATTTCCTCCGCAAGTGCATTGTAAATATGAGGCATTTGGTAAATATGCATTAACTGCTACCATGAAAGCAGTGGATACTAATGAGACTACAGAACATTAAAAAACATTATCTGGTCTCATACAGCAGAAGCATTTCCATCTTACATATTCATGTTTATCATGTCTACAGTTGTATATGCTGTGAACTACTTCTTGCTTCTGCCTCCAAGTTTTTAAAATAACAAAATTCTCTGCATTTTCCCGCTTCCTTTTTATTTCTATTGGTAAGATAAAGGCACAGATGATGGACATTTAATATATCTTTCTCTCCAGGACAGGTCTTGTATATCTGGACTGAATGCAATTCATTGCTATGATGTGTGTATATTTAACTATTTCATATACTGCATCAGTCTATTTTGTTCCACTTAACTCATGAACAATTAGAGTATTTTTTCTTTTATTTTTGTTACTTAGTTTTTATTTCTCTGCAATCCAACTAGATGTGGAAAAGAATAAGGAAAATATGGAACCAAAAGAACTGTAGCAAGAGAACGAAGATTATAGGTATATCACGAGCAATGGTCTGGAAGGGTGTTCTCCTGAGCTACAGAAGGAATGGTCTGGTAGTTTAACACAAAACAAGTCAAATTTATTAGAGTTGTCCACAGTCAGCAATGGTGATCTTCTTACTGGTCTTTACAATCTTGGACCCAAAGGCCTCCATGATTTGCACAACATGTAGGCCCTCCTTCACCTTGCCAAAACCACATGCTTGCCATCTAACCATTCAGTCTTAGTAGTGCCCACAAAAAACTGGGAACCATTTGTGTTGGGTCCAGCATTTGCCATTGGATAAGATGCCAGGACCTGCATGCTTCAAGTTCTCACCATCAAATTTCTCCCCATAGATAGACTTGCTGCCAGTGCCATTATGGCATGTGAAGTTGCCACCCCAGAACATTAAGCCCTGGAACAATTCTGTGAAGAACCATTATAACCAAATCCTTTCTCTCCAGTGCTCAGAGCCGGAAAGTTTTCTACTGTCTTTGGAACTTTGTCTGCAAAGAGCTTGAAGGGCTCATTGCCAACTATGATGTCAAACAATGCGGTTGATCATGGCTGATGGAAAAAGGCTCAGGGCAGTGGCATCTGCAAAGCTGAGTATTTTCTTTAAATGTGTTCATTCCTAGCTCTGTAGCCTCTAATAAAGTGTACATTGCTCTGCCAGCACAGTAAATAACTATTCAATTGTTTTTGTGGTTGTTTTGATTCTCACTCTCCCCAAAAGAGAAAAAAAGATATAAGCTGAAATGTCTTTCCTCCCTGTTGTTTTGAAGAACTCATTTTTCAGTTATTTAAAATACACAAATCTGAGCCGGGCTCGGTGGCTCAGCCTGTAATCCCGCGCCTTTGGGAGGCTAAGGTGAGTGGACTGCCTGAGCCCGCGGGTTCGAGACCCGCCTGGGCAACTTGGCAAGACCTCATCTCTACAATAAATCAAAAACTAGCCGGGCATGGTAGCACGCGCCTGTAGTTCCAGCTACTCGGAAGGCTGAGGTGGAAGGATCGCTGGAGCCCGGCAGGTCGAGGCTGCGGTGGCCGGAAGCAGCCAATGCACTCCAGTCTGAGCGACAGAGTGAGAATCCAACTCAAATAAATAAATAAATAAAAATACACAAATCTAATAGTTCTTCCCAATGAATCGTCCTGATTTGGATTTTTTAAAAAGCACTCTATCCTAGAGATTTATTGCTTTTATTTTTATTTTTTATTTTTATTTTTTGAGTTGGAGTCTCACTCCTTCGCCCACGCTGGAGTGTAGTGGCACGCATGCTCACGGCCACCCCAGCGATGACCTTCTGGGCTCCAGCGATCCTTCTGCCTCAGCCTTCCAAGTAGCTGGGACTATAGATGTGTGCTACCATGTCCAGCCATTTTTTATTTGATTGTAGAGACGAGGTCTCGCCAAGTTGCCCGGGCTGGTCTCAGACAACTCACTCATCTGGGCCTCCCAAAGTGCTGGGATTACAGGCTGAGGCACTGAGCCCAGCCATATTGTTTTTATTAATCAGATACACGGCAAATGCAGTTTGGGGATCTTTTACATTTATATCCTACATAAGCTTTTGATGTCATTAAAATGTTATTTTCCTAATATAAATATTATATTCTTCAAAGCAGGTTGTGGCAGGGATTGTTGGTTGCTTGCCTAATATCCACGTTCCCCTTCTTTCTTTCTTTTTTTAAAATTTGAGTTGGAGTCTTACTCTGTTGCCCAGGCTGGAGTGCAGTGGCACACTCACAGTCACCCCAGCTTCGACCTGCTGGGCTCCGGCGATCCATCCGCCTCAGCCTTCCAAGAGCTGGAACTACAGGTATGTGCTACCATGCCCAGCTAATTTTTTATTTATTGTAGAGACAAGGTCTTGACAAGTTGCCTGGGCTGGTCTCGAACCCGTGGGCTCAGGCAATCCACTTGCCTTGGCCTCCCAAAGTGCTGGGATTACAGGCCATCGAAACTGGTTCCCCCTTCTTTCTTAATAACTTTTTTTTTAGAAAGCAGGATTTATTGAGAGGACAGAAAAGCTCCCCAAGTGGGAGGGCACTCGAAGGGGTTGCCCAATAACAGAACTTCCAATTGTTGCAAATAGCGACTTGCCCAGTTATAATCCCAGGCTATCTGACAACAGAAAACACCAATGGGATAGAAGCAGAAATCACTGAGTGAGTGGTTCTGTATTCTTTCAAGGGAGCAGACTAGAATGTGAAATGAGACTATTTCAAAGTCCAGAAGTCATCCGAAATTACCAGATACCTTGAGGATGTAAGACAGTGCCAAGAATAGTTAGAGCAAAAAGGAAAAGAACTTAAGTGGTTGTGGAGTAACCAGGCCAGTGTTGGACTTCTCCCCCCACAAAAAAAGACAGAGTCTTGCTCTGTCACCCATGCTGGAACACAGTGGCATAATCATAGCTCACTGCAGTCTCTCAGAATCCTGGGCTCAAGCGATACTCCCACCTCAGCCACCCTAGTATACTGCTAGGTGATACAGGTGGCATGGTACTACACTTGGCTAAGTTTTAAAATATTTTGTTGGAGCCAGGCTTGGTGGCTCAGCCTGTAATCCCAGTACTTTGGGAGGCTGAGGTGATTGGATTGCCTGAGCCCGCGGGTTTGAGACCCACCTGGGCAACTTGGCAAGACCTCATCTC